CACACCGCAAGGATTTCCGCCATGGAGAGCTTTTTATGAGTAGGTTGGCCTCGTCCCCCCTCAGACCATCGGGATGACGCACCCGGAAAATCCATGTTCGTCGAGCAAGAATGCACAGCTGGGGGATGGGCAGTAGAGAAGGAGGAGGGGGGGGGAGGGGGAGGAGGGGGAGGGAGGGGGAGGGAGGAGGGGGAGGAATATCAGGATTGATAAGAATGACAGCTGAATGGAAGATGAAGGTTTAAGACAGGGAGGGAGGGAGGGAGGGAGGCAGGCAGGCAGGCAGGCAGGCAGGGAGGCAGGGTATTTGATAATAGATGCATCGCGGATGAGAAGGCTGTGAAAAGAGATTTTTAAGGTCTCTGTTGAGGTGACAGGCAATCTTTTACAGGAATTTATCCATGAAGGCAGAGGCGTGAAGACAGAGTATCCCACCATGGCGAGAGCGAAGTCTTCAGGCCTTTCAAGGTTCGCGAGGATCCAACTGGTAAGAAGAGCCCAGCCCTTCCTTCTAAGAAGAAATGGGCGCATGCAGTCTTGCCCTCTCCTCCTGACTTCCTCGCTTCCCTGCAGATCATTCTCGCGCTGATCTTCGCGGTTTCCTTCAGCGCGTTCATGATGATCCACCCCAAACATGAGATGGTAAGGAGAGACGAGTGCTGGATGCTGGAGGAGGAGGAAAGGGCTAGGGAGAGGGGAGGAGAGAGTTGGAGAAGCGAAGACGTCCGTTATGACCAAGTTTCGTTCACAGTCAGATCTACAAAGCTATAAGGAGTCAAGATCGCGCAGGTAGGAGGACGAGGAGGATGAGGAGGAAGGGGAAAGAGGGGGAGGGAGGAAAAGGAGGAGGAGGACAAGGAGGAAGGGGAAAGGCATCCTGAACAGCCTGCGGCGATGATATCGATGATGCGAACCCATACAGATCATCGTCCAAGTTTGCTTCCCCTCCGTCGAGATCAGGGTGAGAGCGTGCAGGGAACTTCACTCCTCCTCTCTCCTCTCACCGTGCTTTCCGTCCTTGCTGCTGTCCAGGTTCTGCCCGTCCCAGTGCGCCGACGGGCGAGCGATAGACAATCGTATCTGTCCAAAGATGGACCCTCAGGTACTTCCCTCCATCCCATCCCTTCCCTTCCCATCCTATCCCAGTTTTTCCATCCCTTCCCTTCCCTTCGCTTTCCCCTCCCCTCCCTTCCTCTGCTCCCTCCCGGCTCTCTTCTGTAGTGCAAGGCAGCAGGCTGACCCTTACCTCAGCTTACCAACATCATCCTGCAGTCTTTGAGGAAAGACTCTAAAGTTGTAGAGTGGGGAAGTGGGGCCTCGGCGATCTACTTCTCTCAATGTGTTCAGGTGTGATTGATTGATTGATTGATGATGATGATGATGATGATGATGATGATGATGATGATGAGG